CCTCGTCCCGGTCGCCGTGCCCGTCGTCCTCGCCCTCACGCTCGCGCCCTTCATGGCCGCCACGGTCGCGACCTCGACCCGTCTCGCGCCCGCCGCCTCGACCGGCACCGCCGCGCTCGCCGGCGAGCCCGCCAAGCTCGGCGCCATCGTCGACGACACGGCCTTCCGCGCCGTGACGGGCGGCCTGTCGCCCGTCGTCGGCGTCACGACGCCCGACGCCGCCGACGAGGCGCTCCTCAACAGCGCCGACGCGACCGAGGCGGCCGAGCTCGCTGTCGCCATCGACGGCGGGTCCTGGGACGCCCAGCTGCTCGACGCCATCAGCCCGGCGTGCAAGAGCGAGCTCATCACCAAGCCGTACGAGACGAGCCTGCGGACGGGCTTTGCCAGCTACCCGAGGAGCGGAAACTCGTGCGTCCTCGTCTCGCTTCTTCTCCTTCGCCTCGTCCGAGCCGACCGCGTTCCTGACCTCGCTCTCGGACCACTCGCAGGTATCTGCGCTCCCTGATCGAGCGTGCGACTGGCTACCAGACGTCGTCCATCTGTGCGTCCCTCGGTCTCTCTTCCCGTCTCGCCCTTGAACCCCCTCTTGCCACCTGTCGCCCTTCTCGCCCTCGCCCCTCCGCCTCTCGGCCCGGACGGTTCACTGACAACTCGAGCCGTCGACCACGCGCAGACTGCGACAAGGGCCTGCAGCGCACGTTTGCGGGTGAGTGCGACCACAAATCCAACTTCTTCGTCAAGTCGCACTTCCCGGCGCTGCCCAAGGTCATCCCCGAGCACGACAAGCGCTTTACCGACTTCTACCGCAACTACGACCAGGTCGTGCACGTCGTCCGCAACCCGCTCGACGCCATCTCGTCGTGGTGGCACCTCGCCAACTCGCCCAGGACGGCCGAGGGCTTCCAGGACCACGAGAACAAGGTCGACCTGCCCGGCGGCAAGTTTGGCGCCCAACAGCGAGACGACGTGCTCGACCTCGCGAGGCGGTGGCGCCGGCACACGGTGTACTGGCAGCAGGCGCCGATCTTGACGCACACGCTGCGGTACGAGGACCTCAAGGACCAGCCCATCCCGAATGTGCGTCCCTCTTCCCCTCTCGCCGTCCCTGTCCCCCTCGCGCTCCTCCCTCGCCTTTTCCCGTCCCGCCTCGCTGGTTCTCCCTCTCGCCGGGCCTCCAGAACCCGCACTGACCTCTCGCGTTCCCCCAACGCGCGCAGATGATGAGCCTCCTCTCGTTCCTCCTGCCCAACGACGCTCTGCCGCCCCTCGAGGACATCGCGTGCATCGCCGAGCATCACGAAAACCTGCAGGCCTGTGCGTCTTCCACACACTCTCGCATCCACGTCGTCGACGAGCTGCGCCCTCGAGGAGCGCCCAGTCCTGACCTTTCGTGTCCTTCCTCCCTCCTTTTCCCTCCCTTTGCCCGTATCGTCTCGTATCCCGCCGCCTCTCCCGTTCTCGACACCTCGCCGTCCTCGCACAGACCACTCGCGCCGGTCGAGCGACTTTGCCCAGTGGGACGCCTTCGACCCGGCGTTGCGCAAGCAGGTCCTCGACATTGTGCGCCGGCCGTTCTGCGCGTTCGGGTACGACCGGGTGCTCCTCAACGCTCGAGGCGAAGAGCCCGACGCGGTCGCCGCCATGCAAGGGTGCGCACCCTCTCCCTCTTCTCTCTTCCCTCCCTCCTCCTGGCCGTCCTTCCTCGACAAGAACCTGCATTTACATCTCGCGCCCTGGGTCGACAGGTTTTGCGACGTTGGTCTCGCGAGCGACGACTACGACGAGACGAAGGATTCGTGGGCGGCGGGAGAGCGCAGACGGGTCCGGTAGCGCTCGAGCCCTCGTTCCTCTTGTCGCACCCTCGCTGTAACTAGACTATTGCATTCGTCTCGCTCTCGTGGCCACTCTTCAAGGAGAGGAACAGCGCGCTCCTGAGAAGCCGTTCTCGCTCGTCGAAACTCAAGTCGCTCCACAGTTTTAAGACCTCCCCTCGAGCGAGAGCAAGCGCTCCCCACATCACTCTCTTGCCTGCTCTACCTCACCGACAGCGCGCCAGGGCTGGCCGCACGATGCTCGTGTTCGACGCCCTCGCCGCCCTCAGTCCAGCAACCCCGCCCGAGCGGCTCCACACACGCCCAGCTCTCGCCCTAGCGCCGCATCTCCTCCTCGGCCTGTCGCTCCTGTCGTCCGTCGCCTACGTCGCGTGGATCCACATACGCGCGGCAAGGGCACGCCGAGCAAGCGGCTCGAGCCGGCGCAACGGCTCGGCACACGAGCAAGAGCCGCTCCTCAACGACCACGACTCGCAGGCCGACCCGACCAAGGTTGATGGACGACGACACGGCGTCGACGCCCCGACGGGCCACGAGCTGCTCCTCGAGGCGACCAAGGTCATCGTTGCTGTCGCGCTCCTGTCGCTCAGCGTCGCACGGCTCGCGGGTCTCGAGGACGGCGGGCACGCGCGGTGGACTCGGGTGCTCGAGGGTGGAATCATCGGCAACACGGTGCGCCCTGGTCCTCTCTCTCTGCGCAGACGAGCGAGGACTGACAGAGGCCGGTCCTGGCAGGTCTACCTGTCGCTCCTGAGCGCCGTCCAGGTCGCCGACTACCGCGTCAAGGAGACCGTGCGCGCTCAGCAGGTCGTCCTCAGCTCTGGGCTCGTTGTCGTCACGTTCCTCGCCAATGTGCGTGTCGTGCCTCTCCTCATCCTCAGCGACCACACGCACTGACTCTCGTCCTGAGCAGCTCCTCCCGTTCGCCTTCATCGCCCACCCGCCCTTCTCGGCCTTTTGGCGTCTCGGCTTCGCTCAAGCGGTCCTCGCCCTCCTCCTCTGCACCCTCCTCCTCCTCACGCCGCCCCGCTTCGTCCCTACCAGACCCGACGTCGCCGCCAACCCCGCCGAGACGGCGTCGCCCCTGTCCAACATCTTCTTTTCGTTCCTCGAGGGCCGCATGCTCCACTTCTACGCCCTCACGAGCGCGCCCCTGCGGCGCCTATTCCGCCTCGACGATGGCGCCGACGAGGCACACAAGGCCGACTTCAAGCGCTTCGTGCCGGCGCTGCCGGGCATCCTGCAGTCGGACTATGTCCTCGAGCGCTTTCGCTGGCTCGGCGACGCGCCCGAGGCGGACGCAGACGGCGAGGACGAGCAGGAGGAAGGCGAGAAGGGGCCCAAGGTGGGCAGCGTGCGGCAGTTTGCGTGGCACCACCGCGGCGAGGTCGTGCGCATCTTGCTCTTCGCGACCGGGTGGATCGCGTGGATCTTTGTCAGCCCGCTCTCGATGAACCTCGTGCGTCCGACTCTCACTCTCTCATTCTGTCTTTTCGTCGTCCTCGACTGACCTCGCCACGGTCCCACAGCTCCTGCGCTACGTCCAGCAGTCGGCCTCGCCGCCTCTCGGCCTGTCGCCCTACGTTTTCGCGACGCTCATCTTTGTCGCGCCGATCGCGTCGTCGGTCTGCTTCCAGTCGGCCCTGTACCGCCTCGCGCAGCTCGGGCTGCGCCTGCGCGCGCTCCTCGGCCACGCCGTGTTCGCAAAGGTGCTCCGGATCAAGGCGGGCGGCGGCGGGAGGAAGGCCGAGGGGCAGGAGGGCGAGGGCGAGGGCGACGGGCAGGGAGGGAACGGCGAGGGAGAGGGCGGTGAGCAGGACGGCGAGGCGAACGGCGAGGCGAGCGGCCAGGACAAGGGCAAGGGCAAGTCGGCGGGCAAGAAGGGCAAGGGCGGCGGCGGCGGCAACGAGGCCATCGGCAGGGTCAACAGTGCGTCCCTCTCTTCCTCCTCTCTCAACACCATCGCCGTCCTGACGAGCGGCTCCTCGCACGCAGACCTTGTCGGCACCGACATCGACACGATCACGTCCTCGCTCCCGTCGACCCTCCAGCTCTTTGGCGTCGCGCCAAAGCTCGTCGTGTCGCTCGCGTTCCTCTACGTCCTCCTCGGCTGGTCCGCCTTTGTCGCTCTCGGGTCCGTCGTCCTGTTTGCGCCCGTGTCGCGCTCGGTCGCGGGCAAGTACGGCGCCGTCCAGGGCGACATCCTCAAGGCGACCGACCGCCGCATCACGCTCGTCCAGGAGCTCATCAACGCCATCCGCACCCTGAAGATGTTTGGGTGGGAGAAGCCCAGCATCGACCGCATTTCGGAATTGCGGGAGGTCGAGCTCGGGAGGATCAAGCGGCGCGCCAAGGTTTACGCGTACGTCCTCGTCTCGCTCCCTCTCCTCTCTTTGGCCAACTCGAGACGGCCCAGCCTAACTATCCTCTCCTCGTCTTGCGCCGCAGCGGCATGATGTTCCTGTCGACCGGCATCCCGGCCGTCGTGACGCTCAGCACGTTCGGCTCGTTCATCTTCCTTCAAGGCCAAACGCTCACGGCGTCGACCGCCTTTACCGCCATGAGCCTGTTCGGCCTCCTCCGCGAGGCAGTCGGTGCGTCCCATCTCGCCACTCTCGCTCAAGAACCGCCCCTCTGACCTCGCGTGCCCCTCCCGCAGTCTCGGCCACCTGGCTCCTGTCGGCTTTCATGCGCGCCAACGTCTCGCTCGGGCGCATCCGCGACTTTCTCGACAACACCGAGGAGCTCGACCGCAAACCGCGCAAGCTCGCTACGCGCGACGCCGCCGAGGCCGACCACGCCGACGTCGCCATCTCGATCGCGCCCGACTCGACCTTCCGCTTCTCGCGCTACACGCCCTCGAGCGGGTTCGCACTGCGCCTGTCGCACCCGAAGGGCAAGCGCTCGGGCCTGTCGATCCCGCGAGGGCAGACGACGCTCGTCGCTGGCGACGTCGGCAGCGGCAAGTCGGCGCTACTGCTCGCGCTCCTCGGCGAGCTGCACGTCGCACACGGCGGCGTCGAGCTCTTCGCGCAAGGCGGCGGGCGCCTCAAGACGAGCTTTGCGGCGCAGAGCCCGTGGCTTCAAGGTGCGTCCTCGTCCCTGCCCCCCTCTCCTCGTCACTTGAGAAGGTCGCTCACGCTCTTGCCTGCGCGCACAGACACGTCGGTCCGCGACAACATCCTGTTCGGCGAGGAGTACGACGAGGAGCGCTACAACGAGACGATCTTTGCGTGCTCGCTCGAGGACGACCTCGAGGCGCTGCCCGAAGGCGACGAGACTCGAGTCGGCGAGCAAGGGCTGTCGATGTCTGGGTGCGTCGAGCCAGTTCCCTGCGAACGCGCAACCTCGCCGATGTCCGTCACTGACTCGAGTCCTTCCGCTCGCAGAGGGCAGAAGCAGCGCATCGCGCTCGCTCGCGCCGTCTACGCCCGGAGCGAGATCGTCCTTCTCGACGACGTCCTCTCGGCTCTCGACAGGTGCGTCCTCACTTTCTTCTCTCCATCCAGATCGCCTCGTGTAGAGCCTGATCAACTCGAGCGCCTGCAGCAACATGGTCTCGCACGTCGTCGACAACTGCCTGAACGGCCCGCTCCTCGAGGGCCGCACCGTCGTCCTCGTGACCCACTTCGTCAAGCTGTGCGCTCGGCGCCTCACGACGTGTGAGCAGGTCATCAAGCTTCACGAGGGCCGCGTCACGAGCGTCGGCCCGCCGAGCGACGCCCTCGCACCCGGCGGGAGCGGCATGGCCCGCTCGCCGTCCAACTCGTCGCTGAGGAGCAACGGCAGTCGCAGGAGCGGGCAGCAGGGCGACGGCAAGATGCACGACGCGCACGTCAAGCACGGGAGCGGCGCGCACGAGGACCGCGGCGACTCGAGCGGCGAGGGCACTTCCATCTCGTGGGCCGTCTACAAGAAGTACGCCGCCGCCATGGGCGGGCTCAAGTTCTGGCTCCCGTACGCCGTCATCAACGTCGTCGCGCACGTCTTCATGATCGGCCAGGTGCGTGGCCGCCTCGTCCTCCTCGATCGTCCCCCTCGTCCGCGAGGGCGCCTCTTCTCGACGAGTGCGAGCACTGACCCTTGTCGTTCACCAACCCACAGGGCTACTTCATCGGTCGGTGGGTCAATGCCTCGGACGCCAACTCGCACGCGCCTCGTTACTTTGGACTCTACGCCGGCATCCAGCTCGTCGCGTCGGTCGCCCTCACCGTCCAGTACCTGTACCTCATCGTCGGCGGCATCCGGGCCTCGCGCCTCCTTCACGCTCGTCTCGCGACACGCATCTTTGCGGCGCCGTTCCGCTGGTGGGACCGCACGCCGTCGTCGAACGCCATCAACCGCTTCTCCAAGGACACCGAGGTCCTCGACACCGAGTCAATCGAGAACCTGCAGCCCGTCCTCGACTATGCGCCGCAGGTCCTGTTTGTCGCCATCGTCATCTCGGTCGCGTTGCCCGTCTTCCTCGTGCCGGCCGCCGGCATCGCCGTCATCTTCTTCTTCCTCGGCCGACTCTACATTCGGTGCGCCCCACTTTCTCTCTCTCTCTCTCTCTCTCTCTCTTGCCCCCAGGTCCTCGTACTCACGCCTTGGACGTACAGGAACGCGCTCGCGGCTCGCAAGGAGGTCTCGGCCGCCCGTTCGCCGCTCTTCTCGACGCTCGGCGACTCGACCTCGGGCGTGACGACCATTCGCGCCTTCAAGCGTGAGCAGCACTTTGCGGCGACGTATCGGGCCCAGACCGACAACTACAACAAGGTGCGCCTCCCCCTCTCTCTCTCTACCCCTTTCCTCGTGCGCGACTGACGGCACTCGCACCTGCAGATGCAACTTTACGAGGAGGGCCTTGACCGGTGGCTCGAGGAGCGCAGTGACATGGTCGGCGCCACCGTCGCGTTCCTCGTCGGCATCCTTTGCTTGTCGTCCGGCCTCAGCTCGGGCACGAGTGGCTTCCTCTTGTCGACCGCCTTGGAGTTCACGAGCCGGATCCTCTACGTCGTGCGCGCCATCAACAAGAACGAGCTCAGCCTCAACTCGGTCCAGCGCATCATCCAGTACAGCACCGAGGTCGAGGTCGAGGAGCCGCACTGCGACCGCAAGGACCCGCCGGCGCACTGGCCCGACTCGGGCCGCATCGAGGTCCGTGCACGCTCCCTCTGGCCTCTCCTGCCCGACCTCGTTCTGAATCAGCGAAACGCCCGCAGTTCGACAACTACTCGGCCAAGTACGCCGAGGACGGCGAGGACGTCTTGCACGAGCTGAGTCTGAGCATCAAGCCTAGCGAGAAAGTGCGTCGGCCGTTTTCCTCGCTCGCGAACCACCTTGTCTCGAACTCACCCTGCCCATCTCTCACGCAGATTGGCATCGTCGGCCCGTCAGGATGCGGCAAGAGCACATTGTGTGAGCCCCTCGTTCCCCTTTTGACGCTCTCGTCGACCCGGACTGCGACTGACGACCTTCTCAACTCGCAGCACTCGCCCTCCTGCGCTTCATCTTGACCTCGAACGGCTCGATCAACATTGACGGTCGCGCCCTATCCGACACCAACCTCGACGCGATCCGGTCCCGCCTCACGCTCGTGCCGCAGGTGCGCCGCTTGTCCTCCTCCCCCTTCGCGTTCCAGCCGCACAACTGACCTTCTCGGCGCCCACAGGACCCGACCCTCTTCTCCGGCACGCTCCGCTCCAACCTCGACCCGCACGGCGCGCAGGACGACTCGGTCCTGTGGGCGGCGTTGAAGCGCAGCGGCTTTGCGCGAGCGGGCGGCGACAGTGGCGACGAGGCCGCCGAGGTCGGGCTCGACAGCGAGGTCGCGAGCGGCGGGAGCAACTTCTCGCAGGGCCAGCGACAGCTTGTCGGGCTCGCGAGGGCGCTCGTGAGGAGCAGCAAGGTCATCATTATGGACGAAGCGAGTGCGTCTCTCTCCCTTTCCTCCTCCTCCTCCCTCTCGCCTGCAGCCGGGACCCTGACCTTTGATACACACCCTGCAGCGGCGAGCCTCGACGACGAGTCGGACAAACTCGTGCAGCGCGTCATCCGCGAGGAGTTTGAGGGCTGCACCAACCTGACTGTCGCGCACAGGCTCGGTCCGTCGCGCTGCCCCTCTCCCCTCCTTCGCTCTTCACCCTTCTCCCTCGGCCTCTCACTGACATCGTCGCCCTCTCTCGTCGCCCGCAGAGACGGTCATCGACTTTGACCGCATCCTCGTCCTTCGAGCTGGCCGCGTCGTCGAGTTCGACACGCCGCTCGCGCTCCTCGACAAGCAGGACGGCACGTTCAGGGAGATGGTCGAGGCGACGGGCAACTTTGACGCGTTGAGGAGGGCTGCAGGAGGAGGAGAGAGCGGGAGCGGGCGCGAGCAGTAGACTGTGCGGCGGTGCTATCGATTAGACACGCGTTCCCTTCTCTTCTCTCGAGCCCTGTTTCTCGCTCTCTCGCTCGCCTCTCTCGCCTCTCGCACATCGCGTGAGCGGCAAAGCTCCTGGTGAGGGTCCGTGCACAAGCTCTACGGGCACCGCTCTGCGTCCCCGGCGTGCTAGCACGCTCGCCTCGCTCGTCACCGGGTGTTGAACAGCCCGAGCAGCGCTCCTGCGTTCCCCCTCGGCTGCTGCGTCTGCTGCTGCTGCTGCTGCTGCGCCTGCCCGTAGCCCTGCCCCGGCGCAGGTCCCCCGCTCGGCCCGCCGTGCCCGTTCCCAATCGACTGCGGCCCTCCCGCTCCCCCAGCGCCGCCGCCGCCGCCGCCACCGCCGCCGCCCATCTGCATCTGCTCGAGCGCGCTCGGGAGCGCGTACTGAGGCTGAAGCGGGTACTGGGGCGTCGCCATGGCCGTCGACATGTGCTGCATCGGCATGGGCATGCCCAGGGACGCGAACGGCATCGGGTGCGACGGGTGCACGTGGGCGTAAGCGCCTTGCGGCGGCGGGGCCCAAGGGCCGCCTCCTGCTGGAGGGTGCGGCGGCGGGGCGGCATGGGGAGGAGGAGGAGGAGGCGGGTGCGAAAAGGGCATGTGCGGGTGGAAGTGCTGAGGCTGCTGCTGCTGCTGCTGAGGGTACGGCGCGAGGATCTGGGTCGGCGCCGGGTGCTGAAGGACGTGTGGGTGCGGGTGCGGGTGTCCTTGCGGTGCGGCCGAGAGGGAGGAAGAAGGCGGGTAGGGGACCTGGAGCGGGATCGGCTGCTGCTGCTGCTGCTGCTGCTGATGCGGGTGCGGGTGCGAGTGCGGGTACGCGTGCGGATGCGGCGGCGGCGCGACGGCGGCCGTCATGGTCGGCGACGAGTACGTCGAGACGGGCTGCGCCGCCGGCGGCGGGATCGGCTTCGGGTGGTGCAGCGCGACGACGTGCGGCGCGGCCGACCCAGGCAGCGGGAGCGGCGACGGCGCGCGATGAGGCGCGGGCACGTCGGCCGACGAGCCGGCGGGCGCGCCCTGCTGCGCGGCGCGGTACTCCCTCAGCACCTGGAGCGGGTCCTTGAAGCCGGCCGCCGGCGCCGGCTGCGGCTGCGGCTGCGGCTGCGCGCCGTTCAGGATCGACAGCAAGCTGCCCTTGTTCATGGTCGGTACCGGCGCCGGCGCCGCCGGCGTCGACAGGTCGAGCTCGCCCTCGCGGCGCGGGTCCTGCGCCGGCGCGCGCGGCGGGCTCTTTGCCGCGACGCTGAGCAGCGCGCGCAGGAGCGCGTCGTGCTTCTCGCGCTTCTGGTCGTCCTCGAGGGCGGCAAACGCTTGCGGCGGAGCGGGCTGCGCGGCGGCGACGGTCGCGGGCGAGAGGGGCGTGTGCGCTGCCGGGGCGGACGAGGCGGTCGGGAGGTAGGCGAGCGGGGAGGGCGTCGCGAGGGTGAGCGACTCGAGGCGGGTGGCGAGCGTGTGCTGCGGGTACTGGGGCGGCGGCTGGTGGTACTGAGGCTGAGGCGGCGGCGGAGGAGGAGGTGTCGCCGCGCCCGAGGGCGCGCCGCTGAGGAGCTCGAGCAGCTTGGACTGCTGGTTCGAGGGCTTGGGCACGGGCTGGAGGAACGACTGCTGGCGCTCGTAGGCGACGTGAGGAGGCGTCGCCGTGACGGTGCCCGAGGCGGACGAGGTCGACGGGACGGGCGTCGCGTGCTGCTGTGTCGGGACGGGCAAAGGGCGGATCGGTGGTGGAGGAGCCGGCGGCGAGTCGCCCGCGCCAAAGAAGAGGGCCTGGAGCGCGTCGCTGCCCTGCTGCATCGTCTCCCACGGCGAGCGCTGCTGCTGGGCCAAGTGCGGCGGCACGGCGCGACGTATCCGCTCGTCCTCGACGGCCGACTCGTCCTCGGTCGACTCGTCGCCGTCGGCGTGCTCGCCCTCGGACGGCAGGTGCGACGTCGCGCCGTCCTCGGTCCAGGGCCGCAGGACCCGGCCGCCGAACAGGACGGGCGAGCCCTCTGGCGACGGCGCACGGGCCGGGACGGGGTACGGCGAGAGCGACGACGCGGCAGGGCGAGGAGGAAGGTTGCGCGGCTTGTTGCGGTCGATCCACAGCTTGAGGTGCCTGTGTGCGCGCGAGCCTGGGTCAGGGACGCGCCGTCGAGAGGGCGAAAGCGAGAGAGAAAGAGGGAGAGGCGAACGCACGAGATGAACGGCGTCACCATGTAGAACTTTGCCTGCCGGCCATTGGCGAGCTCGCTCTTGGTCCTCGCGGCGCCCTTGCCCTTCTTGTTGCCGCCGGCGCCGCCGCTCGCGACCTCCTTGCTCCAGGTCGGCAGGTCCGACAGGCTGAACCACTCGATTTTCTGCGCGACACGTCGAAACGCGTCAGTTCGCGGTCCGCCGACGTCCACGTACATCCTACCGCACGCGGCGTGCGACGAGGGCTCGACGAGGAGGAAAGAGGACCGGCCGCCGACGCACCGAGATCTCCTTGCGCGTCCTCGTCTCGAACCTGGTGCGCTCGCTGACGCCGGGGACAAAGTACAGGCGGATCTTCTGCTCGCGGATGACGAGCTCGACGTAGTACGGCACGCGCTCGTGGCCCTCGCGCTCGACGTACGACGGGTGCAGTTGCGCTGGCGGGAAGCTGGCCGTCAGGTCGTAGCCCGTCTCCTCGAGGACCTGCAGGACGGGGGCAGCAGAGTGAGTTCGCGGCTTCGACTAGAGCGCATCGTCGAGCGAACAGGCGTCGGCGTCTCGCGCGACGAGGGCAGGGAAAGAGCGCGCGACGCACCTCGCGGACGGCGCACATGGCCTCGGGCTCCTCCTTGTTGATCTTGCCTCGCGGGAATGACCACGACGAGCCCTTGGTCCAGCCCTTGACGAGAAGCACCTGTGTAGGCGGGTGCGGCACGAGTCAGCTCACGAGCTCCTCTGAGAGAGAGAGAGGGGGAAGGGAGAGAAAGCGAGGGGCGCACCTTGTCCCACCACTCGTTGATGAGGACGGCGCCGCACACGGGCACGCGCTCCTTGTACTGCATGAACGAGGTCCAGATCTGGGCGTGCTGCGGCACGAGGTCGTGCAGGAGCGGGCACGACTTGAACATGAGGAGGGAGAAGGCCTTGAGCGTGTACGACGGGAGGAGCGACGGGTTGGACGCCATCGGGCGCACAAAGTCCTCGTAGTACCAGTGGCTGCGTGTGTCGGCGTGCAACGAGTCAGTGTGTGTTGCCTGGCCGAGCGAGGCCCCCCACCCCACATGGCTGCGCGAGGAGGAGGAGAAGGGGCGACGCCTCGTCGCGCGAGAGAGAGAGGGAGGGGAGTGGAACGCACGCTTGTTCGATCTGGAAGCAGACCCTGTCCATGCTCTCGAGTTCCTCGGCGGGGAGGTTGACGATGAAGCGGGCGGCGAGGTCGTCGAGGACGGCGCTCAGCTCGAGCGACGCAAACGACGACTGGTGCGCGAGGTGGGCCGGTAGGGGCTGCGCGTAGGCCATTCTCGCGAGTGGCTCTGGTGGTGTAGAGCTGCGCCTGGCGAAGTGAGGGCGAGTGGCTCGAGGACAACATCCGCCTCCGAGTCGCCTCGTCCTTGTGCGAGCAAAGACGGCGACGGCTGGCACCGACGGGCTCTGCATGGCGCTAGGGACGCGTGTAGCGCGCCTGTGCACCTGGTCCACCTGCCCTCGCGTCCCTGCGTCGCCCCCGTCACTCGCTCCTCCTCTTCCTCCAGCCTCATCTCTCCGCTTCACTCGAGACTGCCACGCACCTCCTGCTCTCGCCGAGCGGCCTTCTGCGCCCTCGCGAGCTATCTCACTCGGCCTGTGCGCGCGCTCGCGCACCAGGGACGACAAAGCCGTGCTCCTCGCCTCCTCGCCCTCGTTGCTCGCTCTGCCTGCCGGCGGCGCCACGACGGCGGAACGACCTCGAGGTCCTGCTTGGCCTCATACTCCTGCTCGTCTCACGTTCTCAGAGCGCTCTCTTGTCGACGCAGAGAGACTCGCTCGCGCCCCGGCGCGAAAGAGCGCCGCGCGAAAGAGCGCCGCGAGCAGCTTGGGAGCGTCGTGGGACGACGCCGCCGAGACGGGCGTTCGAGAAGCGGGCTCCTTTCCGAGAGGGACAGCAGAAAGCTCTCAATGCGAGCACGAGGGACACGGCAGCTGGGACGAGAACGAGAGGCCCGCCGACGGTCGTCGTCGTTCGGGTTCGTCGTCGCGATTCGAGCGCTGCGCTCGCACGGCTGCAGCTCGCAGTGCCCAGCGACAGCTCTACGACCTCGAGTCGAGCCGAAGAGTGAGAGCAGAAGGAAAGCGCGAGGAGAGGGAGCGAGAGCGAGGGCTCGAGCGCGCTTTCGCTCGACCGGGACTCTCACCTCTCACCTCTCGCGCGCGCTCGCTCGACGGGTACTGCAGCACTCTTTGCTCGTTGCGTCCTCCTCCACTAAGTTATCTACGCGCTCGTCATGAATATTCGGGGTGGGGCGGGCCGTGCTCACTCAGAGCTTGGCCTGGAGGAACTTGACCGACTCCTCAAAGGCGCCGTCGGCCAGCTGGCGCGTCTGCGGGTCGCTCGGGTCGCCGCGGATCGCAAAGCCGTGCGACGCGCCCTCCCAGTCTGTGTGTGCGGCGGCAAGGTCAGCTGCGGCTCTCGGTCGATGGCCGGGACGCCCGAGAGAGAGAGAGGCGAGGAGGAGGAGGGCCGAGGGAGAGGAAAGAGGGCGACGCACGGTGCTCGCGGTGGTTGTCGTTGTCCTTGAGGATCTCGGTCGCGATCTTCTGCTGCTCCTTGTTGAACATGACGTCCTCGGTCGCGTGGTTCCACAGGAACGGCGTCTGCTTCTTGGCCAGGTTCTGGATGTCCTCGGGCACCTTGAGGAGCGACGGGTGCGCCACCATGGCGACGTCGATGGCGTCCTGGTTGCGAGAGGGTCAGGTCTTGATGCGAACGAAGGAGAGGGGAGGAGAAGAGAGGGGACGCACGTCGAGGACGAGGTCGGCGACGTAGCGCCCGCCGAAGCAGAAGCCGACGGCGGCAAAGCGCTTGAAGCCCTTGCTCTTGAGATCGGCGATGACCTTGTCGATGAACGGGCGCGTCACGTCCTGCCCGTGCTTGCCGAGCCACGCCATCAAGTCAAACTTGCCCGACTCCATCGCCGCGAACGGGACCGCGTCGCCGTTGAGGTCTGTGGGCGTCTCGAGTGTCAGCGAGCCCGCACGTAGTAGAGTTGAAAGGGATGAGTGCGGCGTACAGTCGGGCATGAACGTGGCGTAGCCGTTGGCGGCGTACGAGTCGGCAAGGAGCTGGCCGTTCGGAAGCGTGTCGACGCCGTAGATGCTGTCGGCCGCACATGGTCAGGTCACGCTCACGAGGGTCTTGCTTGAGGGAACGAGGGGGAGTGGACGCACTCGGTGAGGAAGAGGAGCGCCTTCTCGTGGTCATAGTCGCCCTGCGGCAGGGTCACGTCTGTGTCGGGCGAGAGGGCAGGGGTCAGCTGTCGGCGCTCCTGGGCGCGAGGACAAGCATGGACGCACAAGTGCGGACGCCGCCGACCTGCTCGATCTTGCCGGCAGGGGTGCCGTCGTGCTGCGAGGCGAGGGGGAGCAAGGGTGGTCAGCGACCGCGACGGCGATGGAGAGGGCGAGGAGCGGGGAGGGAGCGCACCTTGAAGCCAGAGATGCAGCACTTTCCGAGCGACATGAGGTGCGGTTGTGTGGTGGTGAGGAGGGGGAGGATGAGGGAGAGGGCGGCGACGGAGTGGAGGCGTTCGTTTGCCCCGCTCCAGAGGGTCGGCTTCTTTTCGGAATGACACGCTTCGTCTTACTCTGGCGGTGTCACTCTCTCTATAACAAGCTGCGAGACGAGCTAGCAAAGCTTTCCATCGCGAGCAAGACGCCCCCGCTCGAGCCTCTCGGGCTGCGACTCTCTCTCTCGCGACGCGACGGCAAAGGGACGAGCAAACGCGGTACTGATGTTCGGCCTTGCACCGGAGGAGTGCTGAGCGAGGTCAGGGAGACGGGGTGGGGGGTACTCAAAAGCTGGGGGAGGGGGAATCAAGCGGCGGCCGCGAGGAGAATGACGGCCACAGGGGGAGACGACGGCCACGGGAGAAGCGCGAGACGGGCGACGAGCACCGCTCAATTCTTCATAGAGGTCTTCGAGGCGTCGGCCTTGGCGCCGGCCTTCGACTCGTCGATCTGCGAGGAGGAGGAGAGGTCAGGTCGTGGAGGAGGAGGAAGGAGGAGAAGGAGGGAGGTCGCACCTTGTCGCCGACGGCGTTGAAGCCAGCCGAGGCGCGGTCGCCGAGCGAGGCGTCGGTGTGGCCCTTGGCGACCTCCTGTAGACGAGGAAGACGAGTGGAGGAGGGAGGGGGAGGAGCAAGGTCAGGACGAGGTTGAGGCTGGCCAAGAGGCGGTGAAAGCGTGAAAGAGCGCGACGCACCTTGTTGCCCTCCTTCGAGGCACCACTGACGGCCTCGCTGACCGAGTTCGAGACGTACTGGGCGCTGCAGGAGGGAAGGGAGGAGGGTCAGGACGAGGTCGACGTGTCGCTCGACGCGAGATTCGACACAGTGCGAGGGCGGGCTGGACGTACGCGTCCGAGACGGTGTTGGTGATCGACTCGATGGTCGAGTTGGCGGTGGTGGAGGCCATTGTGAGCTGTGGACGAGAGAGGTGGGAGGAGGGGAGGACAATGGAAAGGCGCTCATCAGCTCCCGGTTCGAGTGCTCCTTGAGCTGCGACGGGAGGCGGACGCACTGTAGGTTGGTGGTGGTGGTAGTGGGTGAAAAAGGGTGCGAGAGATGCGGTGGTGGGAGAGAAGGAGAGAGAGGAGGAGCGGCGGCGCACGCAGGCAGCCGTGCCCAGCGCGACGCGAGCCTGAGCGAACACCGAGCGACGTCACGCGCAGGAAGCGGAGGCAAAAGCGATAAGGAGGACCGCGCAAGCGGGCCCCCAGTGCGCCAGCCAAAGCCGGTCAGCCGCTGCTGCCGCAGGATGCGAGAGAACGGAGGACTTCAGAGGGAAAAGGGAGCACGCGCATCTGCAGTCGACGAAGCCAAGTGGCCAATTTCCGAAAATCGAGAGCCGTCGCGGCGGCACGAAGCCTCGCGCGTCCCTGGACGATCCGCCGACTCGGCGCTGCGTTGACTCGTTGAGTGCTCGAGGGGTCCGGCTCGCGCGCACGAGACTCTGGGTCACGCCGGACGTGCAAACAAGCGGGTCGTCCGACGCCGTCGGCGGCGAGACGACGGAGCGAGTCGGCCTTCTCAAGTTGACGGACCTCGCCGAAAGCAGCTCGTGCAGGTCGCTGTATGCCACCGCTGGTCGCGGTCGACGTTCAGAGCTCGTCTCTGCGTCGAGTGGGGCAGCGCTGAATCGGCGACCGGAGCTGCGTGCAGTTGGAGCTCGGGGAGGCTCGTGCGAGGTCGACGGCGCTCGAACCGACGACCGTCGCGCCAGCAGGCGGTCGGTGCATGCCAGGGGAGAGGAAGCATGCGGTGCGCGTGCAGGCAAGAAGCCGGTGGAAGGAGAGAGGCTGTGTATGCGCTTGCGCCTCAAGCCCTCCACGTCGCAACATCGAGGAGCGCTCGCGACTCGTGCCGAGGGGAGAAAGCGGCGCGCCCAAGTGGGGGAGCCAGAGTGCGATCGCCATCTTGGCGACGTCAGAGTCGAGGGGATCGACATGCTCGTTGTCCAGCTGGCGCGGCTCGATTCGCCAGCAGGGAAGGTCCGCTGTCGAAAGTCTGCTCTTCGTGGTCCAGACTCGCTCCGAGTGTCGCTCTTTCTGGCAAGGCTGTGCACAGCAGTCGTCATTGCGTGTCACGGGGACGTCGATCCCGCAGTAGCCGCAACCGGCGACAGGCTCGCCGCAAGATCCGTGTGTGCGAGGACAGGGAGCCCTCCCCCTCGCGCCCTCCTCTCTCTCCTTTCTCTCTCTCCACCACACTCTTCTCGCACTCTTCTTCCCACCCACACTCACACACAGTCAGTCTCTCTCCCACCTGCAACGAGCCTGCACGTCGCGCGCTCGAACCGCTTGCGGGAGGTCCGCTCGTACGGATGCTGACCTTCCCCACCCCCGCCCCTCCCGACGCTCCTTCTTCCTCTCGCGCAGCCCTACCTTTACAATGGCCTCCACCACCAACAACACCACCTCGGGCGGCATCATCGACACCGTCAAGGACGCGTGAGTTTCGCCCGCCTCCCGCTTCAGAGGGTTGCCGACACCTGACCCTCTTCGTCCTCCTCGCAGTGCCAACTACGTCTCCGAGACCGTCCAGGAGTACACCGCCGGCGCCTCGAAGGAGTCGAACAAGGTGCGCTCATCTCTTTGACATAAGCGCCGCCTCTGTCCGCTCTGAAAATTGCGCTGACCTTTCGTCCTCCATCCCCGTCTCCTTTTGCCCGCTCGCGTTCTCGGCATTACAGGAGGTCGCCAAGGGCAACACTGGCGCCGGCCTCGGCGACCGTGCCTCGGCTGCGTTCAGCGCTGCCGGCGACAAGATCGACGAGTCGCAGCAGTGCGTCCTCCTCTGCCTCTCTCTCTCTATAGCACTCTCACTGATGACCCCTCCCTCCAGCTCGGCCAAGGCTTCGGGCTACGTGAGTGCTTCCATTCGTCGGCGCCTGCGCCTCGGCTGCTGTGCCGAGCGGCGGGCGCCCGACCTCGCCTCATCCGGCCTTCCTCCTCCTCACTTTACTGACGCCCCGATGTGGGAATGCGTTACAGAAGGAGTCGGCTAAGCATTAGTTACTTAATTCTCCGCCGTCGCACCGCATCGAGCAGCAGGAGATTCCCGTAGCCTCGCCATCTCCCCCTCCGTGGCCGTCCTTCGATTTGACAATCCAAGCTTAGTACCTTTCGTCCTCTACTTCGTGCTGCCGGCCCGTCGTCCGTGTTTCCTGTGCAGGCGTGCGAGAGCCGTCGAGAGAGAGCGGCCGAACGACAGTTACAACGAGGGAAGGAATTCAGGAGCGGCAGTGCCGGCGCTCGTCGACTGTCAATCCTACCGAGCGCGCTTACTCGGCCTCCCTGCTACATTTCTCGACGCTCTCGCGACTCTCTCGGCAGACGCTGCAGGCGAGCGCGCCGGCACAGCATCCGCAAGAGAGAGCAAAGCAAGATCGGCTCGAGTGGTCGAGCGGCCGAGGCGCGCCCTGCACGGACCCGTCTGCGCGCCTGCTTCTCAAACTCGCAGGACGACCGTGAGCGAAAGAGAGCTCGAGAGAGAGAGAGCGGAAAGTGCAGCAGGCGGGCGAACCGCGAGCGCCCGAGGGGGAGCGTGCGCGGCGTGCAGGGCGAGGGTCGAGCAGGCGGCGGCGCAAGGGGGAGAGGGGCCGCTCAAGCCCGGGATCTGTTCTTTCAATGCATAGCGAGCGCTGCGAGGTGCGCACACCGGTTCAGCACAGCGAGGAAGGGTGGGAGAACGGCCGGAGCGCGGGCAACTGATGAGAACTTCAGCGCCCGTGGCACGACGGCGACGGCATCTGACGAGCGAGCGAGCACCTCTGCAGGTTCACAAAAGTCATTCTCACGGCGGGCGGAGCGGTCGAAGCGCAGCACGAGACGCAGAGGAGGAGCGAGCACGGCTCGACGGCGAGATCTCGGCGAAGCGAGCCTGCGCGCGCCCGACAGTCGTCGGCTTGCGGGCCAACCGCAGCACAGACAGCCAGCGTAGCTTGAGCTTCGATCTGGGGGCAGAGGAGCGATCGTAGCGAGCGATTGACGGGCAAGAGCGATTTCGAGAGCTGTTCGACTTGGAAGAAGAGCGCACGAGTGCTTTGCGCGGGACAGCGCGCTCGAGCAGACTCGCGTGCGACGAGATCTTCTAGCAGACGCACCGTTGAGCCGCCCCTGACGAGGCATCCTCGCGAACAGCGTCTCCTCGACCGACGTCCGGATGAAGGATCTGAGGGCGTCGCTTTCCAGCCCTTTTCGCGCTCGCTTTCTGCTCCCTCTCGCTGTCTCGATCTCTTGAAGGAGACACGGACAAGTGAGGACCGATCTGCATTGATGTAGTTCTTGGCGGGAGGGAGCTCGGCGGGCAGCGACAGGTCGAGGAGGGTAAAGTCGCCGGCTGCAGCCGCGAGTTGGACAAAGGTCACGCGCAACCGACACAGGTCGAGACGAGGGGACGCACGGGTGCTGCACCGACACAGGGAGAAGGCGGGCTAGCCGCTCGAGGGCAGCGCAAACCTCGGCGTGCGACTCGTGGGCGCGCGTCAGGGCGACGAGCGGCTGCACGAGGCTCATGAGCCCGCCCTCGCGGCGGACGGCGACCTCCCAGCTGCTCGAGTCGTCCACGCACGCTTTGGGGTGCGCCGCGAGCGCGTTGGCGAGCGAGCTCGAGTCGGACAAGCCGGTGTCGGACAGGGCGTCCGTGGTGCTCTTGGTGGCGGGCCGAGTAGTGGGACGAGCGAGCGAGCGAGAGAGAGAGCTGAGTGGGGAGAAAGCTGAGTGGGGAGAGCAAGCGAGAGCGCGCGAGAGAGCGAGGGCCACGGCGTTTCGGAATCGCCGCCGACGCTGGCTGCTCTTGAGGGGCAGGGAAGCTCCATCGCACGAGGCATCCGGCGCAGCTCTGCCGCCTGCAAGCCAGCAGCGAGTGCGAGGGCGACTCGAAGCTGTGCGGCGGTGGGCCCTGGAGAAGCATGCTATGCTGCTCGTCGTGCGAGAGCGGCAAGGCGGGAGAGACGAGCGGCGGGTGCCGAGCACGACTGAGCCGCAGCGCTCGCCCGTGCACAGGGTGGTGGGGCGCAGGCAGGGCGACGACGCTGTCGATGGCCGTGGTGGGCGGCGGGCGCACGCGGCGAGGGAGGGCTGGAAGGAGTTGGGGCGGGGCGATGTGAGGGAGGAGGGCGGGTGGGCACGGTGCTGGTCGGCGAAGCTCGCGATTGAGTCGCAGTGTGCGAGGGTGCACAGCAGGTGGCAGCAGCTCGTCTCAGCTGTTGGCGAGAGCGAGAGCCCGCGGCGACGAGATGAAGTCGGGGGCAGCTGGCTCTCCCTCGCTCACACGCTCACCACCACCTGAGCCAGACCTACGACAGCACCACCATGGACACCACCCTTGTCCCCGTCCTCATCTCGCTGTTCCACCCGCACCCGCGCACCCTCTCGCTCGCCCTTCCCCCCTCGACCCCGATCTCGTCCCTCTCGACCCTCCTCGCGCCCTACTGCCCGCCGGCCGCCCAAGTCCTCGCCCACTCCTCGGGCAAGCCCCTCCCTCGCTCCCCTTCGTCCACCCTCGCCCACCTCGATGGCGCCACCACCCCGACCTCGTTCGTCGCCCTGCGCCTCACGCCCCGCCTCGCCGGCGGCAAGGGCGGCTTTGCGTCGCAGCTGCGCGCCCAGGGCGGCCGCATGAGCTCGAACAAGGCGCAGAACACCGACTCGTGCCGCGGCCTCGATGGCAGGCGCCTGTCGACCCTTAAGGAGGCGAAACGGCTCGCCGACGCGCTCGAGAACGAGCCCGACCGCCTCGCCGCCCAGGCCCTCGCCAAGCAGAAGCGCCTCGAGGAGCTCAACAACGAGATTCGCAGGCTCGAGCAGCAGGCGGGCGTCGCGGCGTCTTCTTCGTCGGGCTCGGCGGCGGCGGGAGGACCGGTCGCGAGCGGGAGCGGCATCGGGTCGGCGTCGGGCGCAGCGCAGGACGGTGCGCGTCCCGCACCGAGCGCAGGCGGGTCCGGAGCGGTGGGGGGCAAGCGTCGCCTCGATGACGCCAAGTACGTCGAGGAGAGCAAGGAGATCGTGTCGGGCGTAAAGGACGCCGTCCGGGCGGGTGCGTCCCCTCTTCCTCGTCCTTCTTCCTCGTCTCGGTGCGCCTCGGGCCTCGTGCGCGATCACTGACACCTCGTGCGCGCCGCAGCCATGATGAAGAAGCGCAAGAAGGCCAAGACGGACGCGGCGGCGCCCGCTGCGACGGTCGAGAAGGAGAAGGAGAACAAGGGCAAGGCCGGCGCGGGCTCGGCCAAGGACAAGGGCAAGGGCAAGGCGACCGAGGAGGACGAGGACGTGGCTGTTGCGGGCGCGGTCGAGGAGGCGTGAGCGAGGGGAGCGGTTTCTACTCGTCGGGCTCTCGAGCAGAGTCGGCGTCGTCGTGTTGTGCTCGTATCTCTGCCGTCTGTCTGTCGCTCTCTCTCTGGTTGTATCACGCGCGATTGCCGTCCGTTGTCCAGCTTCCAGAGAGCCGCACTCGAGAAAGGTCGGCCGCCTCTGTCTCCTCCCCTCGAGCCGTCTCCTCGCTCAGCTCGCTCGCTCCCCCTCAGCGGCAACGATGCGCGACCCGACCTCGCCCGACACGCTCACTGCACGCCTCGCCGCCCTGCGCAGCGCCGCCCACCCGGCCGCGGCGGCCCCCTCGTCGCCTCCTCCTCCCGCCGCCCCCACTTCTCCGTGCGCCCGCTCTCCCTCCTCTCCTCGCCCTCGCGGCGGCGCGCACTGACCCGCACACGAGCTACAGGACACCCGACGCGGACGACGACGACACGGCGCAGCTCGCCGAGCGGCTCGCGAGACTGCGCGCGCCCGCGGCGGCCTCCTCCCCCTCCTCCTCGGGCGAATCGTCGTCGGCGGCGGCTGGGCCGCGCGTGCCAGTCGGGTTCAAGGGCGTCGACGAGCTCGATGGGAGCGCGCACGAGGACGACGAGGTGCGCCCCTACTCTCTCTCTCTCGCTCTCGCCGGACAGGCCACGGTGCTGACCCTCTCGAGCGCCCAGGTCGAGCGGTTCTTGAGGCGGGTCGAGGAGGAGGAGCGGGTGGGTGCCGGTGAGCAGGTGCGTCCTGATGTCAACACGCGCTCCTCTCTCCCGGTCGAGCGGGACTGACTGGAGGAGACTGCGCTCGATTCGGTCGCACAGCTTTCCGAGGACGACGACCTCGTGCGTCGCCTCTCCTTCTCCAGTCTCGTGTGCCGAGCACGCTCAACTGACTCGCCCTCGTGCCGTCGAGCAGGTCAAGGCCATCCTGCGCTCGCGCTCTCCCCGTTCCGGACCCGTGCGTCCCTCCTTCTTCCCTTCCTCCCTCCCGTCCTCCCACGCGACTGACGCCCCTCTCTCTCCCCCCTCGCCACACCCAGCTCGACCGCCTCCCCTCTCCCCCCTCTTCTCCCCCCCTCGCGCGCGCCCCGCGCCGCTCGATCCCGTCCGCGGCCCGGGCGGCCTCCCTCTCGCCCTCGCTCCTCGACACCCTCTCGGGCGTCGAGGTCCAGTTCTTCCGCCCGGGCCCGGGTATCGGCGACGATGCGCCGAGTCCGGTCGAGGCGGGCGAGCTCGCGCTCGCGCTTGGCGGCCCGGCCGGTGGGAGGTTGAGCGAGGAGGAGGAGGAGCTGATGAGAAGGGTGAGGGACGAGGGCGAGGTCGAGTTGCGGCAGGGGATGGCGGACAGGGAGGACGACGAGGACACGGCGAGGGGGTGGGAGGCGCGGCTTGCGGGGCTGGGCGGGACGGGCGCGGCGCCGAGCGGGCGGGCGGGAGGAGGGGGAGGAGCGGCGGCGCTCGGGCCTGGGGCGGCGCCGGCGAGGGAAGGCGTCGACGAGGTGAGGCGGGCGGCGAGGCGGCGCGCTCGGAAGGAGAAGGGGAGGAGCGGGTCGGGGAGCGAGGAGGAGGAGAGCGAGGAGGAGACGGAGAGCAGCGAGGAGGAGGACAGTGCGGACGGGAGCGAGTGACTGGCACTCAGGGCGTCCGCTTCCCCTTGCCCCTTCACCTTTGCCGAGGCTGTACGATCGAGAGATGTCAGCACGGCAGAGTGTGAGCACGAGAGCGACTCGTCCTCGAGCAAGAGGCTCGTTCGAGACGTTTTTGTCGTCGCGCCCTCGCTCTCGCCTCGCGCGTTCTCTGCCAGGCTCGACTAAATAGCTCTCGCGCCTGCAGTGGCTGTCGCAGCATCGTCGAGCGCACGCGCCCCCACGTCGGCGCCGGCACCTTTCGTGTCAGCGCACACGCCTCGCTCGGCCTCGGCCCGGCTCGCTCCTCTCCTCTCTCCCTCTCTCCTCCCCCCTCTCGCACCCGCACCCGCACGCCATGGTGCGCCCTCGTTCGTCCTCTGCAGCAGCCGGCACCGGCGCACGCACTGACCCGCACGCGCCACAGCCCTTCAACTGCTTCGCCTCGTCGGCTCACGACTCGCTCCCGCGCCACTACACGCCGCACTCGGCGCAGCGCCGCACGCACCTCGGCACCACCACCACCACCAGCAGCAGCGCAAGCACGGCCACGGCGCGCACGCCGTACTCGACCGCGGCGCTCCCGCCGCTGCAGGCGTCGGCGCGGCGCCGGCGGAGCGTGCATCGCCTCGGGTCGGGCGGGTCTGGGTCTGGGTCGAGTGCGGCGGGCGAGGGCGGGCTCGACAAGGCGAGGATTGGGAGCCCGGTTGGGTTCAGGCACTTGGCGCATGGGGGCGGCGGGGCGGCGGGGACGGTGCGTGCGCTCTGAGCTGGTCGAGGCTCACTGGGGGGGCTCGGACGGACTTGGTCGTCCTTTCGGGCAACCCTAGTGGGTCGACATCGCTCGGGCCCTCACTGACACGCTCCCTCCCCCGCGCAGTACGCCCACCGGCCCATCGACCTCCTCGCGGCCTCGCTCTCGCCTTCCCTCCCCCCCTCCCGCTCCCATCACCCCGTGCGCCGCAAGTCCCTCGACGCCGCGCTCCTCCTCCACGCCTCTCCCTCGCCCTCCTCGCCCCTGCACGACTCCCGCCACGCGCGCCAGCCCTCCTCCTCGGCCCCCTC